AACTACCCTTCTATCTTGCATAAGAACACATCCTAATCCCATTTTAGAAACATCACAAAATATCACAAAATGTCCAGTTGGGTTAGGTAATGCTAGTAGAGGGGAAGTGGTTAATCTTTTCTTAAGTGCTTGAAAACTATTTTCGCATTTTTTTTGTCTATTCAAAAGCTTGACCTTTCTTGGTAAGTTGGGTTAAAGACCTAGCCATTTTAGAAAATCCTTCAATGAATCTCCTATAATATCCTACCAAACCAAGGAAACTACGAATTTCAGTCACTGTTTTTGGTGGATCCCATTGTAGAAGTGCTTCCACCTTAGTTAGGTATACTGACACTCCCTCTTTGGAAATCACATTATCTAAAATTTTTACTTCTTTTAACCAAAATTCACACTTAGACAACTTAGCATACAATTGTTTGTCTTTCAAAATTTGAAGAATAACTTGAAGGTGGTCTGCATGATCTTCAAAAGTTCTAGAATAAATAAGAATGTCATCTATAAAAATCACAACAAAATGATCTAAAAATGGACGAAATATCCTATTCATATAATCCATGAATATTGCAGGAGCATTGGTCACACCAAAAGGCATCACTTGATATTCATAATGACCATAACTAGTTCTAAATGCAGTTTTTTGTACATATTCTGCCTTTACTCTAATTTGGTTATATTCTGATCTTAAATCTATTTTAGAAAATACAGAAACTCCTCTTAATTGATCTAACAAATCATCTATTCTTGGAACAGAGTATTTATTCTTTATGGTGTGACGATAATCTACACACAACCTAAAGCTTTCATATTTCTTCTTAACTAATAAAACAAGGGCTCCCCAGGGTGATACACTAGGACGAATGAATTGTTTCCCAAGTAATTCTTCTAATTGTTTCTTCAGTTTTGTCAGTTCAGAAGGTGACATCCTATATGGTGCCATAGAAATTGGTCCAGTTCCAGACATTAAATCTATTGAAAATTCAATCTCTCTGTTGGGTGGTAAACCAGGAATATCATTAAGAAAAACTTCAGGAAAATTTTGAACAACTGTTATTTTTTTCAAATCGACTTCCTCTTTTACTTCCACAGAAGATATAACAAATATCCTTGAATTTTGTTCTTCAAATACTCATTTATTGAGTTGGTAGAGAAATTCAAAAGATTTTCAGAATTTGAAAATATTACTGATTTTTCTGCACAATTCAAAAGGACTTGATTGGAAGATAACCAGTTCATACCCAGGATTACATCCAATTGAGATAAAGGTAGACAAATTAAATTTACAAGAAATTTCTTGTTCTCAATTAACAAAGGGCAATCTAGACAAATTTTATTGGTGATTACAGACTTACTTGTGGGAGTTGAAACAATCAAACTAGTGTCTAGAAAAGAAGTTGGAAATTCAAGGTGTTGGACACAATCATTGGAAATAAATGAATGAGTTGCGCCTGAATCATACAGTACATTTAAAGTTTTGCCTTTAATGAAACACATGTCTTGGATCAAATCATTATTCTGAGAGGCTTCAGTTCCATTCATGGTATACACTCTTCCTGTTGTCAGAGGTTTTCTTTTTGGTGTAGAAGGATCATAATTTGGTTTTTGTTGCCGACATTCAGAGAATATATGACCAGGTTTTCCACACTTGAAGCAGACAGACCCTTTAAGATGACAATCATTAGCATAATGATCCTGTCCGCACTTGAAGCACTTGAGTTGACTATTTACAGATTTATTAAAATTTCTTAGAGAAAATTGGCTGGGTTGGGATCTCCATTGGGGGTGGTTGTACGATTTTCCTTCATTTTGTCTCCTTTTATTATGCTGGGGTCCTAAATATTTTGGTTTACTATTTTGATGGTTTTCAAAATCTTCCAAAAATCTGTATTTATGAATAAGCGTAGGAAAATCAGAAATTTCTGGTATTCCTATTGTTTTTCTCAATTCAAGCCTAAGTCCATTATCAAATTTTATACACTTCATTCTTTCATCAGGGTGATAAAGGAATGCAAAGTATTTTCCTAGCTCTTCAAACTTAGAGACATATTCTCCTACTGTCATCCTTCCTTGCTTTAATTGCATAAATTTTATTTCTTTTGCCCTCCTCACATCATTGGAAAAATATTTTTCTAAAAATTTTGTTCTAAACACCTCCCAAGTAATGATTATTCTTCCTCCTTCTAGTAATCTCCTGATACTATCCCACCAATATTCATTCTCTCCTATCAACATAAACACAATATAATTCACCTTTTGGTCATCAGGACAATTCATAATTTCAAATATATTTTCTAATTCTTTAATCCATAATTCAGCCTTTTCTGGGTTATAACCTCCAGAAAATTGTGGAGGTTTGTTTCTCCTAAATTCAACTAAACCTTGTGATCAATTGGTTCCTTCAGGTCTTTGGTTCCTTCAGGTCTTTGGTTCCTTAATAATACAGCGGTCATGTCTTGGATAGCTTGTACCGCTTCTGTCAACTCGTTATTCCTTCTATTGTTCGTCATCTGGAATTATATAAGTTAGGATTCATAAGATATCATGATAGGCTCATTTCACAGGTTACACATGAAACATTGCTCGATACCATCTAATGTGACATTCTTTTTTGTATAAGAGTAGCAGGTAAAAAAAAATTACATATATGTAAAAGTAATTTACATCACTATATATATATATATATATATATATATATATATATATATATATATATAAGATATACAAAAGAAGAAAGAATTTTATTTTTGATTCCTTCTATTTTTTCTACAATTATACAAATATCTACATTGTCGTTGGAACTGATTAAGGAGTTTTGTTAAAAGATAGGAGACATACAAAAAGTAATCACTACTGGTCCATCTAATATAATGAGATTTCCTATATCAGATGCAAATGTTATTATTGATAATTTTGTCCCTTTAAAAGTAACAAAGTTGTCTATAACGTTCGTGTTTCAAGTAGTTCTTGGAAAGAAGGCGAGTGATGCTTGCAGAAAAGAGATTTGGAATTTTTGGCGTCTCCATCTACTTAAGTTGGTATTTCAATAAAACATGCACAAAAGATTACAATAGAGAGTGAGAACATTTATCATTTACAATAATACAATCTTATAATATATATATATATATATATATATATATATATATATATATGTGTGTGTGTGTGTGTGTGTTTCAACTTCCTCGACTTATGAAGATTTAAATTAAATTTGTAGTGACTAGTAAGGATAAATGAGCCCAATTTTAATCACTCTTCTAGTGATATTTACTCATTTAAATCCCCAAGGTCCAACCTCCATCTACAATATCATCAAATCTTCACAAATAGATATTATTATAATTAAATAATATAACTATAAATTAATAAATAGGACCGCTGCATTACTAGAGATAAAAGAAAGTAAACAAACATGACTAATACATAACTAGAGATAATTAAAATATGACCAGTGCAATACTGGAGATAAAATAAAATAAACAAACAGAACGAGTACATAACTAGAGATAATTAAAATAAGACAAGTACAAGACTGGAGATAATTAAAATAAGATCAGTACAATACTGGAGATAAAATAAAATAAACAAACAGGATCATTACGTAGTTAGAGATAAACAAACAAATAACTAAATAAATAAAATAAGGTTAAAAACACCTCACTCCACAACTATAATCAAAATAAAATAGAATAAGGTTCAAAACACCTCACTCCATAACTAAATAAGTACTCATTTATCTTTCTCTTTCTTTTCTCTCCTTACCTTTTTCCCTTTCTTTATTTCCTTTTTTCTTCCCTTATCTTCCTACGTAACTTCTCCCTTGGTCCCTTTTTATAGCAATTTTTTTTTCATATATTTAATTAAGTAACCAAATTATGATTTTGATAAGATTTATATTTTAGGATAAGATCATTTTATCTTTTATATATATATATATATATATAAGAAAATTAATAATTAATATTTTTCTTCTCTTTCATGTTTATAAATATAACAAATATATATATATATATATATATATTGTAATTATTTAATAATAACAAATTTCTTTTAATATATTTAAATTATCCAAATAATATAATTTAATATATTGTATGTAAAAAAATGATAAATGTTTGAGATGTTATATATATATATATATATATATATATATATATGCACGTGTGATTTTATTAAATAAAAATAATTAAAAAATTAATAAAAAATAACAACAATATTACTTCTTGACTCATGTAACCATCCTCTTCTCCCTCAAAACTAAACTCAGTGTTCAGGTCTCTCGGAAGACATAATGAAGAATCTACCTTCCTATGCAATATTATTTGATTAAATGTTGTTTTAAAAATACTAATAAGATAGCATGATTAAAAAAAATCCTAATATATTTAAGATGTATTTTTTATTTTTATATTTTTTAGTCACCAATTGATCAATTACCAATTTTTTTAAGATCAAAAAGGGCCATTTTACTTTGGTCTTTCACTAACGAATTTCTACCAAGTCTCCTGAAGAGGTCACGCAAACCAGAATATGCAAATTCTACGTCTCAAATCAGTGTATAATGATGATGGTCGGAACCACTTATCAAGCTTAAAATCGATAACAACGTGAACTCATTCCAACAAAAATTTGGCTTAAGAAATTCTGAGTGTCATGTATCTTGCACAGTATAAATATCCACCCTCTGGTAATGGAATGGAGAATTTCAAGCCGAGGCAGAGACCATGTCGTATTTGAGTTCAATATTAGAATGTTGCCAACTCGGACAGCCATAAAGGATTACCAACCCCAAGTCAACGAAGTTCCTAGCCTCTCACTAACCCCACCCAATATCAAATTTGGGTAAGCTCTAGCATACAAAACTTAAGGGTACCACTTCTTCAATTACACGATGATCATCATACTACCTGTTCAACATGATATTTGATCAACTTCAGCACTCGAGTCTCAAAAGAAAAAAAAAGTCACGGCCTAGTAAAGTTACCTGTTAAATCTATCCCGGTTGTTCACAACTCATCATGCTTTGCTGGTTGTTCCGAATTCAACAAGTCTAGCTTGTGCTGTAACTCCTGTAAAGTTCCACAGTTGACATTAATACCATAGAGAGATAAGGATAAATATCTGTATCGATAGAAAAGTACCTTCAGCTTTTCCTCTAGACAAAGGGCCGGGGTAGATAAAAAAGCTACATATCTGCCACGAGGCCAGTGAGACAACAATGAGAAAAAGGGATAACATCACAGAAAATTTGACAAAAGGGAGAAGAGGATAGAGGTAGCAGCATTGAAAAAGAAGACAGTAATCCTACTCGCAACGGCTTGGTTCATCTACATCAGTAATCTCATTTTTCAAACCACATCTTAGCTTGACCTGTTAAAAACACAACCATTAAATCAGAGGGTCAACAAATTGGAAACTTTCAGGTTTCTGCGTGCAACTACACTAATAACTATAATTATTATGATGACAATAGATGGTGTATGGAAACTGAATGGGATCAGAATCCTCTAAAGTTAAATACAACTGTAGAGAATGGCCACCACTGGATTACTATGGTGTTTATTTTAAAAAATAATAATTTAAAAAAATCCAGCTTTTTTATTTGGACTGCACCCTTTTCCCCTGTCCCAAACCCAGAAGGCACTATTTATCTACCAACATACTTTCATGAATATATATATATATATATATATATATATATATATATATATATATATATATATATATATATATATATACTACACCTAACGAAAGTATAATTCTACATCTAACCAAAGACAGTAGTAGATTTTATCATTATAGAATCATTGCAAAAAAAAATATTGTCAAAACTGCAAAATATGATTGCACATCCTTTTTAAATTTTGAAAACATCAAAACATGTAACCTTCAAACTCCTATCAGGACCATTCCAGCATTTATCACCATTCGAAAACACCATTACTTTGTATGAATCCTCAAATTTGTCCCAGCGCCTGTAAGAAAATAAGCAAATTGGATTATTTGTCATTTTTAAAGAGGAAATAGAACTTTCTTTTCACCAATTGATGTTTGCCTCTTTTTTTAACTGGAGAATAGCACCCTAACAAAAATTATCAACTAATTACTAAAACCTTACCCCAAACGGGTGGTGGAATATCCCTCCTCTTGAGAAGCCTGTTTATAGGGGCAGACTTTGTAAGTGTACCTGAACCAAAATTTCCAACACCATAAAGTGAGATGAGCATAACTATCTGACTTGCAGATTCAGAAGAAAAAAAAAACAAAATGTCAAGTACAACAGAAATAAATTGGTAGGGAGATATAATGTAACTTGTTCTCCTTGCCCTCAAAGCAATGATCATAGAATGTATAAAACTCCTTTGCTGGACCTGTAATATTAAGTTCTATTTCAGTTTATTCAAGCCAATTTCATAGCTCATATTTCCACAACTCAAATGTATGACGGTGACAAATGTTATTAGTGGCATACTAACCAAAATCATTTTTTAGCTTTTGCGTCAGACTTGATATTCTGGACTGCATTTTAGACAACTTGGCACTTGATTCATCATATTCCTTGCGTACACGAGCAGCATCTAAAGAAACCAAAGAAATGCTTAAGTCTGAAGTTATATCCGCATGGATAATACAGGCAATAAAGTGATAGGTTACCTGACTGATTCACTGGAGCCTGGAATAAGTTAACTGCCTGAAAAATATTTCGTACGGTTTTCTGTATTTTCTCTAACCAAGAAGGATTATCTGCTGTGGCACCATATGAGTTCATTTAAATTATCTCATCACAATTCCATTTATATACCACTTGGATAAAGATTGTTATATTTATAACAAACCTGACAAGTCTGGTTCAGTATCAGAATCGGGTTTGTAGGAGGAACTATGGTCATGCTCGTCCTCTTGATATTCTTCGTCAACATCATCTTCATCATCGTATTTGTGACTGTCATCATATTTGTGGCTATCGTCATACTTGTTGCTCTCATCATCTGTTTCAGAAGCATAGCCTTCATATTCATCATTATTTGTCCCCTTTGGAAGATCTTCCTGATCTTCAATGTCTAATGTAGTATCAGGTTCAGCACTTTGCTTTTCAGTATTTTCTCCTGTCCAACGTGAAGCAACAAGCCGGCCCAACTCTTCCCTTGATAATCCCTCCGTATTTTCAGATGCGTCATTCCCCTACAGATATTGCCAACAATAAGAAAATAACAAACAGAAAAGAGATGCGAAACAAATTTGCAAAATTTACTATATTTCTAAAACTATGCAATATATCAGTTTGTTTGAGAAAGAAAATAATCTCATCAGAATAGGATATAGTGTAAGAGCCGAAGTAGGAAGAATTCAAAACGGCAACCATTACATACAGTAGAATGTGGGAAATGGTCTCCTTCAAGACTAATAGTGACTGTATTCAATGCCAATGAGTAAAAATAAGTGCAATGACAGTGACAGGTGGGATTGTTAAATACCCAGATAGCCCATAACCTCTGACCATCACAGCTCTCTGATGCAAAAAACACTCCTGACTCCTATACCATTGAATAGTGAATGAGGTGGAAAAAATGTTGAAACATTGAATAAGACAAAATTGTGGTTCGGTTATTAAGTTGGGTTTTGAGAAAGTTAATGATTGTGTGTTATGGAGGACTAAATAAAGTTCTCTAAAAACCAGAAAGATCTTCATTGCTACACATGTGGTTTGCTGACTGTCTCTCGACTGCAAGTTTCTTCATGATTGTATATGGTAAGCTAAACTATCAGTTTCATGAGAAATGGGAAGATAGGAAAACATATCCTTTATTCTTTTTGTTGTTAAATTTAGTGGTTGATGTTTCTGCCAAATGATTTCATATTTAGTTGATAGGGATCTCAATGAAGGTAGATTAAAAATGACATTATGATTTCTTATAATGAGAATGATTTCTAAAGAGACCATGGATCTTTGGTTGGTTGTAACAACTACTTTTTCTAAGATCTTGAAAGGCAACACTAAGTATTTGGTTTAAAGGCAGGTAGGGTGTCAGGTAACAAAACACTCTACCCGCTGTCCTATTTACTTTAGTAGCTTATGTTTGATGTTAGGTGATTTCAGTATTAGACAAGGATCTCATTTAGCTTTAGAGTAGGTTCACAAGAACATCTCCCTCGAAACAGAATTGAGTAGAACCTCAAACAGATGCATTAATCATAGCTCCAACCAAGGTTATCAATTGCAGAACGAAGAATATGGCAGAAGGTCAAAATTCAACAACGCAAACAAGCTATTGCAGCCTATGGTGGAGGGTTGAAAAATACCTAGTTATAGCATTATGGTGGCGCTATAACGATTATTTAACAACATTGGTACCTAGTCATAAGTTTACAGGGAAATAGACACAGCACCCTTAAGATGCCGGCACTCTGATTTATCCAAATACACAAAATACCTACAATAATTGCATACAGCACAAAATTTTAGTAGCCTCCCTTTTTCAGAAAATCATTAAAATAAACCATCACAAACTGTTAAAACAGGATAGAGCCAGCACTTAACAAACTTTAATAGAAAAGTGATTAAAAATCAGTGTGTTATTATACTAGAGTTGGGTACATCTAAAAAAAAAAAAAAAAAAAATTAATTACTTATATTTATCACTCCTCCTCAAGCTAGAGCACATAAATTTTATGCACAAAGCTTGGAACATATAAACTAAATTATAGGTTCTCTATGAGATTTAGGTACAATGTTTGCAAGTTGATCTCGGACAAACTCACCAATTAAATCCTTGGACAACAACTTCTCCTTAACAAAATGATAATCAATTTTTATATGTTTGATTCTCTCATGAAATACTAGACTATAGACAATATGAAGAGCTAGCTGATTGTTACATCATATGCTCATTTCACAAAATTTCAACTCTTGAGTTGTTTAATCCATACAAGTTCATAAGCATCTAAGGCCATTGATCTAAATTCAGCTTCCACACTAGATCAAATAACAACACTCTATTTCTTACTCTTGCAAGAAATAATATTCTCTCCAATGAATACACAATATACACAATATCTTGTGGTGGATCTCATATCAATGGGACAATTAGCCCAATTTGCATCACAATACCCTAAAAATTGAGTACTTCTCTTTTCCTCATCCAACAATCTCCGTCCTCCGTCCTGGAGAACTTTTTACATATTTGAGTGTGAATCATGACATTCAAGTGGTCAATGTGATGGTTTTACATGAATTGACTAATAATTCTAACTGCATAAGAGAGATCAGTTCTTAGTGAGACAAAAGAATTTTTCCACGAACATTTGATATCTTTACATATTTAAGAAATTTTCACATTGGTATCCCATTAATTTTTTATTTGGATCCATTAGGCTATCAATGGATTTTCCATTAAACCTGTCTCCTCCAAAATATCAAGATCCTATTTTCTTTGTGAAATGACAACACCCTTCTTTGATGAATCACTTCAATAACAATAAATTATTTTCGATAGCAAGGCCATTGGCCTGAAAAAGGTTAAATAAGTTCTTTTTAGTTGAGCAATCCTAGTGAAATCATTTCCTACAATAAATATAAAATCAACATAGACTATAAGATAAACATACTCCTAGTTAAGATATAACAATAAAACACGGAATGATCTATCTCACTCAATCTCAATATAAAAGTTGCATCATATGACTAAATTACCAAATCAAGTTCGTGATGATTGCTTCAAATAATAGAGAGATTGTAACTTACAAACTAACTTAGACTCCTCCTGCACAACAAACCTAGGAGTTTGCTACATGTAAATTTTCTCCTCAAAGTTGAAAGTAATGAAGATCTTATTGAATTACTTTGGCAAAGATCTTGTTGATTTGATAAAGTCAAGAATAGAGTCAAAGGCTACTTTGTGACAGTCAAAGGTCACTTGGATAAAAGAGAAGAAGAATTAGTGTGTCTGTAGAAGGATTAGTGTGTCTACAGCTCCGCTTAGGTAAAATCATTTTTATCTTTCTGCTGCATGAGGTTTCTTCATTTAAAAGATTTTGCAAATGCCTCTAAAAATATTTTAACGGTTAAAAACAAAGCATTTTGACAAAAGCTTTCTTAATCAACTATTTTAACTAATAGAATATAAGCTTTATCAACTAAAATGTTCTTCACACTTTTATAACAGGTTTTTAACTGATATAACTTCGAAATAACCGATTGTTTTCATTAAAGGAAGTTTTGAAAACCTTCAGTCAGTATTTTAACTGATACAGTTTCGAAATAACCGATTAAAATCACTTAAAATGTTCAGAGAAGTGTTCTGGCAGTATTTTAATCGATACAACTTTGAAATAATCGATTAAAACCACTTGGTGTACTGTTTGACCGATCAGAATGGGTTTATGATCGATCAGAACCAGATATGATCGATCAGAATTGAATTATGACCGATCAAAATTATTTTAATCGATTAAACTACGTTTCAATCGATTAAATCAACTTAAGAAAATTTGTACTAAGCGTTTTAATCGATTAAAACGGATTTTTATCAGTTAAAATCACTTGAAAAAGTTTATAAGAATATCTTGCAGTATTTTAATCGATTGAAACACGAAACAATCGATTAAAACAAATTAGAAGATTTTTTACAAAGAGTTTTAATTGATATAAACGTTGTCGTATCAGTTAAAACAAATCTGGAAAATAATCAAGAACGTTTTAATGGATTAAAAGAAGTTTTAACAAATTAAAACAAGACTTTTAACAGATTAAAAGATTATTTTAACAGATTAATTAAACCAACAGTTTTGAAAATCTTCTATAAAAACAGAGTTGCTTGAACTTTTAAAACATCATCTGATATACATCTTTTAGCAAACAATCAAGCAATCAAAAGTGATACTTTCAAGAAAGAATTACGCTAGTTTTTGTGAAGTTCATCAAAGTTCTTTCTTGAGGCAAAATTGCATTCTTTTGGACAAGAAACAACATATTGCAGAACTGCATAAAACTGGTTTGAGCGTTCTTAGTTTCTTCTGTTTGTTTCTTTACTTTCTTTTACTATATTGTGGGTGCCTAGAATTGTGGGCACTGGTTTCTGTAGCTGGAATTTGGCTGCAGGGTAGGTCAAGAACTGGAATTTGGTTCTTGGTGAAAGGTTAGGTGTAGGAACTGGAATTGTGGTTCTTGTGGTAGATTGAGTGTGAGGTTAAGGTTGTAATCTGTAAAACATTCAATATAGTGGAACCCAACTGGAATTTGGCTGGAGACTGGACGTAGCCCTGGGTTTGGGTGAACCAGTATAAACCTTGGTGATATCTTTCTAAACCTTTCTCTTCTTTAATTTTGTGACTGTATTTATTTTTGATTGCTTGCTGTGTGATTCAAGAACATGTCTGAAATCTTAATCTGAGAAATAGATAATATGTAAATTTGCAAAAATCTTTCAAAGATCAATTCATCCCCCCCCCCCTCTTGATCTAAACATAATTTTCTAACAATTGGTATCAAGAGCAAGGTTCTTGAGAGTTATTCAAGTTTTTCGATCAAAATGACTGAAAACAAATTACCTTTTTCTGAGGGAGCTTCTATTAATAGACCTCCACTGTTTTGTGGAACAGATTACCCATTTTGGAAGATTAGGATGAAGATCTTTATTGAATCTATTGATAGGAATGTTTGGGATGTAATTGCTAATGGTCCTTTAATTACGTAAAAAGAATGGTCCAGTTTAAATGATGAAGAAAAGAAAAAAGTTCAAAGTGATTGTACTCGCTAAAAACATAATTACTTCGCACTAAATATGGATGAGTTTTTCAGGGTCTCCCAATGCAAATCGCCAAGGAAATGTGGGAAGTTCTTGAGGTTACTCATGAGGGAACAAGCTGATGTAAAGAGAGCCGGAAAGCATACTCTCATAAGAGAATATGAGCGGTTCAAAATGCAAACTGGAGAAAGTATTGTAGATGTGCAGAAGCGCTTCACTCATCATCAATCGTCTAATGGGCTTAGGTAAAACTTTTGATAAAGAAGAATTAAATATTAAAGTCTTGAAATGTCTTGACAGGTCATGGCAGCCCAAGGTCACAGCTATTTCAGAATCAAAAGATTTATCAGTCATGACAACAGCCTCCTTGTTTGGCAAACTCAGAGAACATGAAATGAAAATTAACAGATTCAATGAGCAAGAAGTCTCTGAGAAAAAAAGGTAAAAGTATAGCACTCAAGGTTGAAGAAAGAAGTCAAGAATCAGAAGAGGAAAGTGAAAATCTTGGACTGCTTGTCAGAAAGTTCAACAAATTTCTCAAGAAAAAGATCCAAGATAAAGAAAAACAAAAAAGGTATGAAAAGAAATCTGACTCTTTTAACCATAAATGCTATGGATGTGGTAAGCAGGGTCATGTAAGAATGGAGTGCCCAGAAAAGAACAAATACAATGATAAGAAAGAAGAAAAAGTCAAAAGAAGAGCATATGTAGCATGGGATGATAATGATACTTCATCAACAGAAAATTCTGATAATGA